GAAATCACCATCAAAGGAGCTCTGCATAGAAGTGGGCAATGATATGGGACTGCTAGCAGTCACCGAGCCCGCCACTTGACCTTGAGAGCTATTTGAGCAATTGATAGCGCCAACGCGGCCATTAATCATTGTCGGTGGCATACCGGGCAACGTGGGCGGAGGTGTACTCTCCTTAGGCGATGGAGGTGTAGATTCAGTTCGAAATTTTCCAAAAGCCTCTTGAGCTACTTGTTCAAACTTTTCAAGTTTGGTATCGAAAGTCAATGAATAGTTAATATCGCATTTCGGAGTAGTGTTTATTAAATTAATAAATTGATTGCCGATCAATTTTTTCATTGCCAAAAACTCGCCAGCATTTGCTTGTTCTAGCACACGATTAGTAAATCGGTTTGCATTATTGATCTTACCCATAGTATTTTCAATATTTTGCAATAAATCCATAATCTTCAATTCACGTTCCGAATGCAATTTTTGTAATTCTATTAAAGCCTGATCGCGGCATTTCTCCAAGATTTTCTTATATTTTTCAAAAGTTTCCTGAATTAGATCGCGAGCGGAATCATGTTGAGTCTGTAACTCATTTAAAGCGGTTGATAAATTTGAGACAGCATCATCACAATATTGCACCTAATTTAAAAATGTAATAATTAAAAAGCCCGAAAAACAAAAAACAAGAGAGCATAGCATAGCATGCACACACAAAAAAATTTCAATCACAATCGAGAGCGATAGAGTGAGGCTGCTGCTGCTGCTGCTTCTGCTGCTGCTTACCTTTGATTTAGCCTCTTTCATAAGATTCTCAATGTCGCCACGTACAGACTTTTCAGCCAATGCAATAACATCATAATGATGTTCGCTACCCTTGTGATCGGCAATCAGGCAATCATTACAAACCGGTATTTGACAATTAAAGCAATAATACTTAAGATTTTCGGATGTATGAACGTTGCAGTACAACGGCTTATGAATAACCAATGGCTTTCCATTATCCGACGACTTTTGTAAATCTTCCAATTTAAGAACCTCATGATTCTCAAAGCAGCGCATATACTTATGCGCATTATCACAACCGCTACACAAAAAGTTGGCACAATCATTGCAACGCGAAATCGCATTCTCTTTGCTTTTGCATGAAGTGCAAAACAATTGCTCCGATTCGATGCTGGCCAAATCCAATATATTGGTCAATATATAATCGCATGTCAATGATTGTATACCCTTGACACCAATCTGTAAAAATGCATTTAATATAATATAATTTAAAGTAAATCATAAAATTATCTTGAAAGGCTTATATGCCTATATATGCCTATATATGCCTATAGGCATAGCCATTTATCGCATTCAAATTTATCTCAGTCCTTACATTATATTATTTATCCCGTTACTATATATAAAATATTATATATAATTCTTGTTTCACTTCATTGCATCATTATTTTCTTCACACGAATACCACGTCTATATCCGTTTATTTTTAACAATCGAAAATATTCCCGGGGAGTTGCAGAGCTATGTGTTGCTTATTATTATTATTATTATTATTATTATTATTATTATTATTATT